TTGGAGGGGAAGCCCTGCAGGTAGAGGGCAGCCCAAGTCCTCCCTGAACACCACCCTGACCTGCCCAGGCTCAGCTCTGCCCGCCGTGGCCTCTTTCTCCCTTCCCTCCATGCCCCAGCTCCGGACTCCCAGCAAGGTTCTTCGCTCGGGCTCGGCCGCCCGAGGCCGTCACGGCTCTGACGGACGCTGCGCTTCTCCCTTCACATTATGCTCCAGGAGTCAGACAGTCCCTAAGGACTCAACACAGCACTGATTTGATTATAATGGGATGTCTCTGGATATTGAGAGTAAATACGGCTTTTCCTACAAAGGGCAATCAATATTTGAAGCAGAAATCTCCCAGGCACTCCTGAGAGAGAGACTTCAGCCCTGCGACTGCTTCACCATAAAGCACATCGGCATCACTGCTTTTGTGTTCGCTGGGCTCCAGAATAAAGTAAAACTGCCTTAGGACTCCAAATAAATAGGGAAATGAAATGAAATGAAATGAAATAAATGAAACGAAAATAAATGAAATGCAACGGAAGGCTGGCTTGCAAGGGAAGAGTGGGGCTGGGGGCCGGAGTGGCTCAGGAGGGCTCAAGAAGCAGAGGGGCAGGAAGGAGGGAGTGAGGGGCCTGAGGGGCTGGGGGGACAAGCAGAAGGGAGGGAAAGTGAAGTCTGGGGGGGCTGGAGGGTGGGAGCAGGAGGGGTGGGAAGGCAGGGAGCAGGGGAGGGCAGGGAGCTCCCTCTCGCCCAGGCTGCTGCGCTCTGGCCAAGGGTGGACACTCGCGTCTACGTGGCAGAGAGTTTATGGCTCCCTTTTCCTCCTGGGGGCTCCTGCAGGGCTGCCAACAGGTCCCGATCCTCCTGCCCGTCCTGCTTGCCCCGGGCATCCCTTCGCTTGGTGGCCAGCCGCAGCAGGGCGGGGGGGGGGGTCAGGCCCCCCCCAGCCCCTGGTGCCCCCCATGCCATGGTTGCTGCAGCCTCTCTGAGCTGGTTTCCCTTTAGGAGGGATTAAACTGTTTTCATCACATTTCAATTACTCTCTGCATTCCTTAGCACGTTCTTGAGATGTGGGGTCAGAGAAGGGAAAAACCCAACGAGCCTCTTCCCTGCCATCTTTTTAATTTGGAAGGATGAAAAAGCTTGAAGTTAAATCTCCCAAATCCATGATCTGGGCAAGCGCTGCCTCCCAGGACAGCCGCCTGGTGCCCCGCTGCGTCCCCCCGCCCCAAGGAGGCTGACGGCCCCCGACCACAGGGAGGGCACCCAGGGCGGCTGGCAGGAGAAGACCCCGGTTAGCAGATGGTCATGGCCGGGGCTGCCGGGGCGTGGAGAGGATGCAGCCCTGAGCCAGGAGAAGGGGCAGGTTTGGCTGCGTGGCCCCATTACCTTCCTTCCCCTCAAGCCTGTGCTTTTTCGGGGTTGCCCTTCCTCTTCCCAGTGGCTTTGCTGATGCTCAGAGGTCTCTGAGGCGCAGTGGATGACCTGACCTGATTTATGCCGGTTTTGTGTGTCCCAAACCACGCCGAACCCCAGCTGGAGCCAGCTGCCTCTCGGGCACGGTTTACAGCAGCGGCACTGGCGCTGCCGGTTTGCAGGCTCAGACCGGCTGCGCTGAATTGCCTTACAGCAGCACCTCCTGCAAAATACACCTGCAGCTCCAGCCACCGAGCCGCGTATGAAGTCTCTAATCATGCAGGAGACGATAGCCTTGCCTGAAGAAGCTTCCTGCTCGGCGGGGACTCCTCTCCTCCCCTGGCTGAGCACTGCCAACGTTTCCCTCCTGTAGCACCCACAGCTGCTGCGCTCCTCTGCTGCGAGTGGGAGATGGGGCCGGGCCGGGGGCTGCTGAAGCGGGCGGGAGATGCTTCACTCCACTTCGGGAAGACTGAATCACATCTTCATTGTAGCTGAAAAGCCTCTGTTGTTGTAAGAGATACTTCAATGACTGCAAATATTTGCTTTTCTGTCTGTTTTTAACAGCAAAGAGACTAGGCTGGCCCGAACTCTGGGCAGAGCAGGAGGTAGCCAAAAGGAACGGGATGGAGAAGAGGAGGCAGCTGCAATGCAGTGCAGATGATAGAAGCAAAGCAATGATCTCCTAGCTATCTGTCCTGGCCTCGCCCTCGCGTGCCTGCCCAGCTTCTGGCTGTCCACCCAGCTCCTAAGTTTGTTCCCTGCGGAAACACCACAGCGGCTGCCGCCACGCTGCCTGCCAGCCCGGGGGCCTTCGTCCTTGCTAAACGGAGGGAGGAACCCGCCACCTCTGGGGAGAGCTCGGCTCTCTCACCCCAACCTCTGTCATGGCCCATGTAAAGGACACCACAAAACACCAGGCACCAGCATACAGACCTTGCTCCAGGCGGTGCCAGCAAGAAGCCAGAGCCCCTCTCGCCAGGCTTCTTGGCTGGCATTTATGGGACAATCACAGACTGGTTTAGGTTGGAAGACTTCTCTT